TTTTATTTTCCGTCGGGCCAACTTCCGGGAGCCATAAGAGTCAGTCTTAGAGCTAATCCGAGAAACAACAACAACATATACATAACCACAACCAAACCACCAACAACGCTCGCTCGTCGTGCATCGCATGGGCACCGCCTCCATAGGATACCGGCCCTTCTCAACAGAGGGTCGGACTCGCTTGACGCGCGAGTACTTCGGTGTGGTACTGGTCAGNAACCACAACCAAACCACCAACAACGCTCGCTCGTCGTGCATCGCATGGGCACCGCCTCCATAGGATACCGGCCCTTCTCAACAGAGGGTCGGACTCGCTTGACGCGCGAGTACTTCGGTGTGGTACTGGTCAGTAAAAGCACAGAGAGAGAGAGGCACAGAGAGAGAGAAAAACGAGCACGACCTGCCTCGTGCATCATGCTTCCGAGGCACAGGACACACAGGACACATGACAGCGGATTATTGGTTTCGCCGCGATCTACGGCGGATGCTGTCGGAGATAGTGTCGCCTTGATTTCCAAGAGTGTACCCTGAAATGGTGATAATCTATACGGGTACCCCTCAAAATTGAGCAGACGATTTCACGGAGCCGCGACCCATTCGGCCTTCGTTCTGTTCTGCGCGCCCCCTCCCCGCTTTGGCTTGTTTGGCGCACATGCATGTGTGCACGTCCTCCACAGCGACTCGTGTGTGTGCGGTGGCTCAACGGATACCATGGCGAGATTGTCGTGCTGCTATGCGTTAGTCGGTGTCTTCTCCAACATCGCGGTGAGATAAAGTAGACAATGACCGCGTGAGCGGCTCTGCTCTGGGGCCGTTGTGCAACACGTGCTGCCACTACAATGAGAATGCAGTCATGGTTGCCCTGCGGGTGCCTACCTCATGATCTATGCAACAAACTATTCGTGTATACTATCTTAGGAGACAGCCAACAACCGTGTGTGGCAAGGCTTTCTGTCGCAAAGATGTGATACAATCCGAAAAGAACCCTTGTTCATATCAGGCACTTCCGTCCCTTGACGTTTTGCAAGGGTATCCAAAGTTGTTGTTTCTCGCATTAGCTCCATAGTCCACAAGAAATGGGGAGCTCGATGTCTCAAAACCCGGCACATACGACGCCGCGGGGAAACAAACCAAAAATAGGGTACAACCCACTCGGAAAAAGAAAACAATAATGATAGAAAGAAAAGAACAGCTATCGCACCGACCGTTCGAGAAAAGGGCCCTCGGAAACCGATCAAAAGGAAACGAAAACAAAAATACAGGAGGGCGCTTCCTACACCCGCACAAAGAAAAAATTAAAGGGTAACGTACTAGCGCCAGGCACAACTGGTCGCCCCGGTGGTCTAGTGGATAATCTCGCCGCCTGCTAAGGGCCAGGTCATGGGTTTGAATCCCGGCAGAGAGAGTTTTTTTCTCACTAAATAAATCATGGTCTAGGATGAAAGCGACGCGCTGCAGAGCTCGTTGTTAGTAAACCATAATCGACTTCGTGAGTCGCGAGGGAAGGGATTGCTCTACCACTCTCGCGATAAAAATACCTCAGACAGGAACCACAGGAGGGGTTCCAGCCCCCCCCTCCTGTGTGACCCCGGTTGGGTCGTCTAGCTAGTAGAAGTGGAGGATAGGGGCCAGAGGGGCAGACGACAGAGTCCAATGATGGTAGAAAAAAAAAAAAAACTACGCACGAGGGCATGGGAGTAACGGAGCAAACAAGACAAAGAGGCGGCAGACGGGCAGACAGACAGATGTACCAAAACAAAAGCAACAGCAAAAGCGAGATCAAGGTACCCAACAAAGCAGAGTAGGCAGGGAGGACATGAAAAGAAGAAACACAGCACAGAGGCCGAAGGCAATACAAAGGACATACATAGAGGAGTATAGCATACAACAGGGAGGGAAACAGGGCGCGACAACATCAGCCGGGTACACAGTTCGCCACAAGTGCTGCCTCGGCCGCCCTACTCGCTTCTACAGTAGTGCCCGGTCGCCGTTTCTTCCCCCCCACCGCCGCTTCCCCGGCTCTTTTTCTCTTCGATCCTGAGATGGCCGTACTCTCTGCTTCTGCTTCCCTCGCGCGCTGGCGCTTCGCGGACGCTTCCGCCTCCTGCCTGTGCCATTTCCTCATGAGCCATGCCGCCCCGTCCTCGACCTTGTTGTGCCACACCTCCGGGTCCTTGGCGCTCTCATTCCATTTTCCCCCTTCCTTTTCGTCTCCCATGTTGAAGGCCACGAGGTCCACTCCTAGACGAGACACCCAGTCGCTCTCCGCCCGCCCCGGTATCCCACGCCCCCGCCATCGCTCCTAACAGCATGCGCTTGGAGAGGCGGCTGTCCTCCATGCGCATAACAAAGCCCGCCAAACACAGTCTCCGTTTGCGCACGGTGGCCTCGATGCTTTCCTCGCAGCCTGCCTGGACGAGGGCCTGGGCATAGGACAGGGGGCGGTCTGAGCGTTTCCGCTTGCTCCAGCCGATACACCGTGTAAGGAACTGGC